ATCCACGTGTGGCCTGAGCCCGCCTCTCTTGTTCCGTGGGTGCCAGTGTTTACAAGCCAGCCACCATGGTTGCTTCCAAGCATACAATCGAAACATTTCATATTATCACAGCACTTTTAGTGATTGCACCTGCAAAATAAGTCACCATGGGCCCCAAGAAAGCTTCTAGTGCCAACCCTACAGCAAAAAAGAGTGAGAATTACTATGGATATGAAGAAAGAGATCATTGCTAAGTATGAAAGTGGAGTGTGTGTCTCCGAGCTAGCCAGGTTGTACACAAAACCCCAATCAACCATCGCTATTATTGTGGTCAAGAAAACGGCAATTAAGGAAGCTGTTCTTGCCAAAGGTGCAACTTTGTTTTCGAAACAGAGATCGCAAGTGATAGAAAATGTTGAGAGACTGTTATTGGTGTGGATGAACGAAAAAAAAATAGCAGGAGATAGCATCTCTCAAGCGATCATATGTGAAAAGGCTAGGAAGTTGCATGACAGTTTAATTAGAAAAATACCTGCACCTAGTGATGTGAGTGAATTTAAGGCTAGCAAAGGTTGGTTTGAGAGATTTAAGAATCGTAGTGGCATACATAGTGTGATAAGGCATGGCGAGGCTGCCAGTTCGGACCACAAAGTGGCTGAAAAATGTGTGCTGGAATTCAAGGAGTACATAGACAGTGAAGGACTGAAACCTGAACAAGTGTTTAATTGTGACGAAACAGGCCTGTTTTGGAAGAAAATGCCAATCAAGACGTACATTACTCAGGAGGAAAAGGCACTCCCAGGACATAAGCCTATGAAAGACAGGCTTACTCTGTTGTGTGCCAATGCTAGTGGTGATTGCAAAGTGAAGCCTTTATTGGTGTATCACTCTGAAACTCCCAGAGTGTTCAGGAAAAACAATGTCCTCAAGGCTAATTTGTGTGTGCTGTGGAGGGCAAACAGTAAGGCATGGGTCACTAGGGATTTTTTCTATGACTGGTTACACCATGCATTTGCCCCCACTGAAAAATTACCTAATTGAAAAGAAATTAGACCTTAAGTGCCTCCTGGTACAGTGGACCCTCGGTTTACGATATTATTTCATTCCAGAAGTATGTTTAAGTGCCAGTACTGACCGAATTTGTTCCCATAAGGAATATTGTGAATTAGATAAGTCCATTTCAGACCCCCAAACATACACATATAAACGCACTTACATAAATACACTTACATAATTGGTCGCATTGGGAGCTGATCGTAAACCGGGGGTCCACTGTATTAGACAATGCTCCTGGTCATCCTTCAGACGTGGCAGAGTGACTTTCTGCGGAAATGAGCTTCATTAAGGTCAAGTTTTTGCCTCCTAATGCCACTCCTCTCCTGCAGCCCATGGACCAGCAGGTCATTTCCAACTTCAAGAACTCAAAAGCTATGTTTGAAAGGTGCTTTGTAGTGACTTCAGAAACTCAGTTGACTCTAAGAGAGTTTTGGAGAGATCACTTTAGCATCCTCAATTGTGTAAACATTATAGGTAAGGCTTGGGAGGAAGTGACTGTGAGGACCTTGAACTCTGCTTGGAAGAAACTGTGGACAGAATGTGTAGACAAAAGGGATTTTGAAGGGTTTGAGGCTAACCCTGGAAATCCTATGCCAGTTGAGGAATCCATTGTGGCATTGGGGAAGTCCTTGGGGTTGGAGGTTAGTGAGGAGGATGTGGAAGAGTTGGTGGAGGAGGACAATGAAGAACTAACCACTGATGAGCTGCTAGATCATCTTCAGCAGCAAGAGGCCACACCTGAGGAAACTGCTTCAGAGGAGGGGATAGAGAAATTGAGGAAGTTGCCTACTTCAGAGATTAAGGAAATGTGTGCAATGTGGCTTAAAGTGCAAACCTTTTTTGATGAAAATCACCCTCACACAGCTATTGCAAGTCATGCTGGTGACTATTACACTGACAATGTTGTGAAACACTTTAGGAATGTCATAAAGGAACGAGAGGTACAGGCCTCTATGGACAGATATGTTGTGCGACAGAGGTCCAGTGACTCTCAAGCTGGTCCCAGTGGCATTAAAAGAAGAAGGGATGTAACCCCGGAAAAGGACTTGCCACCTCAAGTCCTAATGGAAGGGGATTCCCCTTCTAAACATTAACACCATCCACAGTCTCCCCTACTCCCATCCCATCAGTCATCACCAGATCTTCAATAAAGGTAAGTGTCATGTAACTGTGCATGTCTTCTTTAGTTTGTGTGTATTAAAATTAATATTTCATGTGGTAAAAAATTTTTTTTGTTCATACTTTGGGGTGTCAGGAACGGATTAATTTGATTTCCATTATTTCTTATGGGGAAATTAATTCGCCTAACGATAATTTCGCCTAACATTGAACTCTCAGGAACAGATTAATAACGTTAGACGAGGGTCCACTGTATTTGTTTTCTTATGCCAAATCAAAGTCGAGAACAACATCCAGTATTAGGCTCCTACTTAAACAAGATGGGTCCTACACAGATTACAGCAAGGAAATGAGTGAGCTACTCATGTCCCAATATGACTCTGTTTTTAGCAAGCCGCTAACCAGAATGAGAGTCGAAGATCAAAATGAATTTTTTTGAGAGAGCCACAGAATTTGGTTAGCACAAGCCTATCTGATGTTATTCTGATGCCAAATGACTTTGAACAGGTGATAAATGACATGCCCATGCGCTCTGCCCCAGGACCAGACTCGTGGAACTCCGTGTTCATTAAGAACTGCAAGAAGCCCCTCTCCCTATGGAGAGGGAGCATGGACACGGGGGTCATCCTACAGTTACTAAAAACAACAGACATAGCCCCACTCCTCAAAGGGGGCAGTAAAGCAATAGCAAAGAACTACAGACCGATAGCACTAACATCCCATATCATAAAAATCTTTGAAAGGGTCCTAAGAAGCAAGATCGCCACCCATCTAGATACTCATCAATTACACAACCCAGGGCAACATGGGTTTAGAGCAGGTCACTCCTGTCTGCCCCAACTATTGGATCACTACGACAAGGTCCTAGATGAACTAGTAGACAAAAAGAATGCAGATGTAATATATACAGACTTTGCAAAAGCCTTTGACAAGTGTGACCATGGCGTAATAGCACACAAAATGTGTGCTAAAGGAATAACAGGAAAAGTTGGTTGATGGATCTATAATTTCCTCACAAACAGAACACAAAGAGTAGTAGTCAACAGAGTAAAGTCTGAGGCGGCTACGGTGAAAAGCTCTGTTCCACAAGACACAGTACTCGCTCCCATCTTGTTTCTCATCCTCATATCTGACATAGACAAGGATGTCAGCCACAGCACCGTGTCTTCCTTTGCAGATGACACCTGAATCTGCATGACAGTGTCTTCCATTGCAGACACTGCAAGACTCCAGGCGGACATCAACCAAGTCTTTCAATGGGCTGCAGAAAACAATATGAAGTTCAACGACGAGAGATTTCAATTACTCCGATATGGTAAACATGAGGGAATTAAAACTTCATCAGAGTACAAAACAAATTCCGGCCACAAAATAGAGTGAAAAACCAATGTCAAAGACCTGGGAGTGATCATGTCGGAGGATCTCACCTTCAAGGACCATAACATTGTATCAATCGCATCTGCTAGAAAAATGACAGGATGGATAATGAGAACCTTCAAAACTAGGGATGCCAAGCCCATGATGACACACTTCAGGTCGCTTGTTCTATCTAGGCTGGAATATTGCTGCTCACTAACAGCACCTTTCAAGGCCAGTGAAATTGCTGACCTAGAAAATGTACGGAGAACCTTCATGGCGCTCATAATGGAGATAAAACACCTCAATTACTTGGAGCGCTTGAAGTTCCCGAGACTGTTCAACTGCCTCCCAGCATACATAAGGGGGATTACCAATAGACCCCTGGCTGTCTTCAAGCAGGCACTGGACAAGCACCTAAAGTCGGTACCTGACCAGCCGGGCTGTGGCACGTACGTTGGATTGCGTGCAGCCAGCAGTAACAGCCTGGTTGATCAGGCTCTGATCCACCAGGAGGCCTGGTCACAGACCGGGCTGCGGGGGCGTTGGCCCCCAGAACTCTCTCCAGTTAAACTCCAAGTGTTTTTAATTTAAATTTGTATAGAAATAGGTTTGATAACAGGTAATATGCATTTTAAGAAAAAGAGGATAAATACACAAGATATGATATAAGATATAATGGCAACAGTTTGTTAGACTGCATACAGCATTAGTAGATAAAAGGTTAATGGGTAGACTTCTGGATGTGTATGTTTATAGAGGGGGCAACAGATATATCAGATCACTGTTGAGTTGTAGCTTCTGTGAGAGTAAGAGGTAGATGGGTGCAAAGGAAATGTTATCAGTCATCAAGTCATGTTTTCCTACCATAGCTGATCATTCAATATTACCACTATTCCTGCCATAACTTTAACTCTCTCAGATCATCTGACCTAATCCCATATATTTCAACCCAAAAAATATCTTATCCCCTTCAGCTTTGTTTTACTTTGGGCTAGGATGTCCAGCTTCCTTTCATTCGTGACATTCACAATCATCTCTTATCTGCACTACATCCATGCACATTCAAGCATCCTAACTTTATAAAGTTCTTCCTTTTACATTTAGTAGTAATACTGGAGAAGGGGTTACTATCTCATTCTCACGGCATTTTAGTCGCCTTATACTACACGCAAGGCTTATTCAAATACAATTTTTTATTTCCTTGCAAGATTACTTTGAGAGTGTGTAATTACAATAATGAGTTGCAGTGCAAAGAGACCCACTGTCATGCCATGGCATTATGGGCAGACTAAATTTTTTGAAGAAAACTCAGATGGGTGTGTATAAGTAAGTATGGTAATATTAACTTCATTGCTCTGATCTTTCCCATACCTGCATTTCTCTCCATTGTTTGAGTTTGACATAATATTCTTTTCTGCTACTTAATGCCTTATATAGCTATGTTTTATTATCTTTTCCGATTTGTATATTAAAAAATTTGTTCACAGTTTGAGTATCAGCAAGCACAGTTGGAAGCAGAGATTGAAAATCTCTCTTGGAAAATTGAGCGAGCTGAGATGACAGACAGAGGAGATTTGGAGAACCAGATGGACATTGTGGAGAAGCGAAGAACCACCCTTTTGACAGACTTCCTACAAGTATGATGGGCAGTTTGGAAGTAGCCAAGCGGTGTGCTTATTGTGGCTCCCAGTAACAGAAATACACTTTCCATACCAGAGCATGCACTCAATGAGGGCATATTGCAAGTTATAGCTGGTGTTATTTTATTCCATTACTGGACTAATTTGACGAGTGTTTTCTGCAACTTAAAATGTCTGTATCTCATTAGACTTTAGTTTAAAGTTTGGAGCTTTAGTGTGATTGGATATTTGTGTTTAGTCTGGTTGGAATTTATATTTGTTATAGGTATATTACTTGTCAACAGGATATGAATGCCAAATACAGTCAGGTAATTAGAATACCTTTCATTTTTTAAATACTGTTACATTTTTCAATATTGTCATCTATTCAGCTACTTTGAAAGGTGCCGTTCCAGAATTGGGGCCTTATTGTTACATTGCAGCTCCAGGATGGTTAGTCAAATTGGGAGAGTTACGTGTTTCATCCAGGTTTTAAGGGCAGTTATTTATATATTGTTAAGTAAGTAGTTATGTATCATACCATGCAGGTTGTGGATTTTTATGCAGCTGTATCATAATTGTATGTATATTGTGTGTATGTATATATGTATGAATATATATGTATGTATAGGCTTACCATAATTTCTTTGACTTAAACTGGGACATTTTTATGATTTTGAAAAAGCAGTTAAGGGTTAAAATGTATCAATTTCTCCAGTAAGGACTACAGAATGAAAATGAACATAAAAACATAAAGTATGGAATCATTCTTTGGGGAATCATTCTTACTTTTCACTATAATGAACCTTTCTTAGGAATGGTTTGTTATTTTTAATTTTCCAATAAATCTCGCTGCAACTTAAATCAGTGTTTATTTTGCCGTACATTAGCCCTTTTACTGTAGATTCAGTCGCAGACACACACATGACTTTGAAACTGGGACAATCCCAGTCAAAATGGGAGTTACGGTAAGCTTATGTATGTATATATATATATATACACACACATACATATGTATACTTATATATACATGCTACAGTTCAGATGCCCCTCCAAACTGCAAATATCCCCACCACTCCACATATATATATCTACAAAGAGAGGAATGTATGAGATTATAGTGGTACCAACACTTTTATGTGGGTGTGAAGCATGGGTTGTGAATGTTGCAGCGAGGAATAGGCTGGAGGCAGTGGACATGTGTTGAGGGCAATGTGTGGTGTGAATATTATGCAGACAGCTCATAGCATGGAAATTAGGAGGTGGAAGAGGTGCTGGATTACTAGAGCATTATCCAGAGGGCAGAGAAGAGGTTGAGATAATTTGGACATATAGAGAGGATGGAGCAAAATAGGATGACTTGGAGGGCATATAAATCTATAGTGGAAGGAAGGCAGGGTAGGGTCCCATGCAAGTAGGCAAGTGTGGAGTGGAGAAGGGAAGTGTGTTTATTGGATTAGGAGTAGAGATTGAGTCATGGAGGTTGAGACTGTGAGCTGCATTCAAGGTGGGAGCAAAATACATTTGGAAGGGATTCAGGAAATGTTAGAATTAGTGTGTCATGGAGAGACAGTGCATGGATGAATGATGGTGGGGTTTAGTTTGAGGGCCACCCTGAACTGTGGTATGAGTGTGCTTGGCAAGACAGTGATAATAAATAAATGGTGAATATATTATATTTTTTGCCAACTGCCTCGATGGTTATGACGTTTATAAAAATAAATAATAAAATAATATAAATATATATATATTATATATATTTTTTATTATTTTTTATTCAACAAACCAGCCATATCCCACCGAGGCAGGGTGACCTCCCCCAAAAAAAGAAGAAAACACCTTCACCATCACTCAGCTTTTCACTGTCTATACTATATAAAACATTACAACATTACATAATTATATTACAATTACATATATAATATATACATTATCTATATATATTTATATATACATTAATATAATGTATATATATAATCTATATATATATATATTACATACACTATACACAAACTCACACATACTTGTAATACATATACAGTATTTTGTATGAAAATGAATTAAATACACCTGTATAGTATTAACATTTGTACATTACTGTACAGTATGAAAATGTGTTTATGTATGTTTCAATTGTGTTGGTGTGTGTGAATGCTGGCTGCTGGCCCTGGCTTTGGCTCTTGGAGACCAAGGAACTCTTGTGGATCACCCTTCTCTGAGAACAAGAGTTCCTTATTTAAAATTGTAGTAATTATGTTGTTTACCGAGTGTGCATGAATGTGTGTGTGTGCACGCGTGTGAGTGTGTGCATGCACATGTGTATGCACACACGTGTGCGTGCATGTGTGTGTGCATGCATGTGTGTGTATGTGTGTTTGCTTGCATGCATGTTATGTACTTTCCTGTATGTAGTTGTAGGGGTCAAGTCTTAGCTCCTGACCTCACCCCTCTACATGCCAGTTACTCAGTTTACTCCTTCCTACTCTTGTGAGCCTTATCGTTTCTTTTCTTATAACTATGTTTGGAGTCTGTCTCCACAGCTTCTTCATTGAGGTCATTCCTCTTCCCAACTTCCCTGAGGCTGAAGAGGACAAGGAAAAGGCTCCAAAGGGATGTGGACAAATTACAAGAGTGTTCAGATAAGTTGTTGCTGGAATTCATCCTAAGAAATGCAAGGCCATAAAGATTGGGGAAGTAGTAAGAAGACTGGATATCATGTAATTGATTTGGGTGTGTTTGGTAGTGGGCTTCAGTGATAAGTCTTTGGAGGTTTCTTACTTTATTTGGGTTTGTGGTAAGTGCCCCAGGCTTGGAGGACCATGCCCAGCAACGGAGAGAGGAGTGGCAGATGTTGACTTGAGGTAAAGTTGGTGCCAAGTGAGAGCGAGACAGGCCTGGGTATGCTTATCTAGAGGCTTGCCCTCTTGTGGAAACTAGCCATGTAGGCTTACTTTCTACATGGAAGTGGGGTATAGGTAGACTACATTGACAGATGCTGCAAACTCCACTTGAACAGAAAGACCGAGGGATGAACATAGTGCCCAGTATAAAGTCAGAGGCTCACATCAGCCAAATTGCTGCAGCCAATGCTCGTTTGGCATATCTAAGAGTACCCTACAAAAATCTCAGCACAGTCATTCTAGTCCCATTATATAGGATACATTAGGCCCATCTTGGAGTATGTGCTATCAATATGGAATCCACACCTAAAAAAATATGTTAAGAAGCTTGAGAAAGTACAAAAATATGCATCAAGGCTTGTTCCTGAATTAAGGGGGCATGAGCTAGGAGGAGAGGCTAACAGAATTGGGCCTAACAGGCATTGGAGGCAGTGGCATCATAATGGGTGGGCAGGGGGTGGGGGACCCAGGTGACACCACAAGGGGTGACACCATAGAGCCTCTAAAGAAGGTGATACTAATGCCCAAAACAGTGCTGCAGCAACATAAGAGAAAAATCATTTGTTTCTATATAGCCTATTATATGATTAAAGAGTACAAATAGGCCTATATAGGGAAAGTAATTGATTTTGATGATGTGATAGATGACTTTGCAGGATTGAAAGGAAAGAAATGTAAGATCAGATTCATTGAGATGTTATTTGTACTCAAGGTCAAATTGAAACTAATGTTTCTCTGATACTGCAATGTTTTTCATTATTTTACTTTTTTTTTTTTTTGCATTGAAGATGAATAAATGTACGATCTGTTGCCTGTACTCAAAGTGGTATTTGAGTTTGTTTACTCAGTGTTACTATGATTATATATTTTATCATTAATGAAGTTGAGAAGTATTCTCATGTTCGGTTTATGGCCCTTAAACATTCTCTTTGCTAAACATAAGTCACTGGGCATGCAGTAGTGACGTAACTGGAGTTTACTCCCCCCCCCCCTTCCATCCCCCGCCTTTGGATTTCATTGAGGTGACACCAGAGATGCCGCCCTGGGTGACACCAACCCTAGCAACGCCACTGATTGGAGGACAGGATAAAATACAAAATATTCAAGGAAATTGATGGAATGCACAGAGACAGGCTATTTGAAAAGCAAGAAACAGGATCTTGGGGACAGAGCTGGTAGTTAAACACAAAGATAAGCTGTAGGGATGTTTGGAAATATTTTCTGTTTCAGGGTAAGTCAGGAAGTGCAATGATCTCATTGAGGGAGTGTTGAGTCAGACTCCATGTATAGTTTTAAGAGTAGCTACAATACTTCCCATGAGGCTACCAGGTAATGAATCAAGTGAGTGAACAGTGGGTAGGAAGCCAGGATCTGAGAATTGATCCCTGCCATTACAAATAGGTGAGAAGATGTGCACATGCACATATACACATGCATGTGCACATGCATGCATGCATGGGCGCACAACACACACACACACACACACACCACACACACACACACAACACACACACACACACAACACACACACACACACACACACACACACACACACACACACACACACACACACACACACACAACACACACACACACACATATAGATATGTATATATATATATATATATATATATATATATATATATATATATATATATATATATATATATATATATATATATATATATATATATATATTAATATGAATTATAATATGCACAGAGTTCTGTATATAAATATAAATACATTGTACAAGTATAGACTGGTGTTACATGGTCAGCTTCAACTGGCTGGTGGATGTACGTTCATTCAATCCTTTATCAAGAAGAATGAATTTTGTTTATGCAAGTTTAATTGCAAGGTGATGTAGATCTTGTTTTAAACAGCAATTAGTCCACTTAATTTGCCAGTGGTGATATGTACTGCTTTATAGCAGATGATTTAAATGTTTATTTTTAAACATGACTCCTAACAAACTCTAGCATGAGTTTGTATTTGTAATGAGCAAAATATTGGTGTTGTCTACCTTGTGAATGATAGAGGGAGATGTGTTTCCTCAGAAGGGTAGACAAATGTGCATGTGCAATGGCTAGGCGAATTTGTATGCATCAATTTCTCAAATCTTCATCGTTTTCTTTTTTCTTGAACAAATACTTTGCATGTTATTGGTGTGGTAATATACCAGTACCATGCAGTCATCTTTGCTTTTTACTTACTAGTTTACTGTTAGCTTTTTATGTATGTATCTTCTTGGTGAATGACAGTGATTAATGCTAACTGCCTTTGTGCAAGTGAAGGTTTTGTTTTTAATATTTTTTTCTTTGGGTATTAAGTTACTAGAAAAGTTTATGCTCTTTAAAAATTTGAATAATTGGAATATATTTATACAGTACTTAAACAGTTGGCTAGAATCTTTAAAATGAGATTGATTTTCAATGTATATACATTATAGTATAGGAAATTGAATCAAGCTTTTGTTTCTTAAGTATAGTTGACAAGTTCAACTTAAACTACAGTACTGTGTGTATATATTGTAGCTTTGTGCAAAATTATTTGTGATCCAAATTTAAAAAAAAAAAAAAATTTTGTTAGCGATATTAATTGGATAACTAGCCAAAATAAAAAAATTACATAAGAGCAAATACTTCATACCTTTTTTGACTTCAATAACTGACTTTGATGTGAGGTTTAAAACAACTTATCACCAATATAATGATATTGGTGAAGATTAAGTAAGTTTTTCCAGAGTCAATTGCAGGGCATTTAATTTTTTTACCACCATTGTGATAATAAAAGAGCAGGATTTCACTCTGGTTTTTATGAACCTTGATTTAGTATGTTAGATTAAATAAAACTATGGAAGATTTACTTTGTGACAGTCATATGGATTAACTTGGTGCATTATATAAAAGGACTTATTCATATCTATTGAAATAATGAATAAGATATTACTGTTATAA